TTTTTTTTTGGGTGTTCATTAGTTTGTTGGATGGAATGATTGTTGGGGAAGTTATATGGCCATAATCTGAGAAGTTCAATCATGTTTAGTTGCTAATTAGTTTGTCATTTTGAAAATCTCTCTGAGAGATAGGAACTCGATTGGCCCATTAATGACGTGGGGTATGCAAGGAGGTACATCGAGTTTTAGCTGTTTCACTTATTTTCAATTGTAGGTGGATTATGTTCAGTGTTTGATGGAAAGAACTGAACACGCATTAGTTCCAGAATGGCTAAGATGTACAGGAAATGTTGCTGGAAGCGGCACCTCAGCCCACCACAAAGGTATCTTTACTTGATAGAATTCCTACTCATATGCAAATAGTCACTGTTTGTGTGTGTGTATGTGTGTCTGTGTATACATATATGTTTCTCTTGTCAAGTTACGTAGAATGATGGTCTTTGTGCTTTTTTATTGTAGATACTTCCTCCATGCATTCTCCACGAAGCCGGACAGTCAGGAGTAATAGTGGAAAAGACAGCTCACGGTTTCTGGACAGAAGTTCATTGACTGATTCTAGGCGTAGTTCAAGTAGTAATGGTTCTGAAAAGCATCCGTATAGTAGTTTCACAAGGAATCCTCGCAATAGAAACCGTGCTAGGGAAAAGGAGAAGGAAAAGGCTTTTCCTAATGATATATGGGACCATGGCTCTTTGGACCCCTTGGAAACTATATTAACTCGTGGAGTTGAGAGGATTGGGTTTAGGCGTTCTCAATCGTTGGTTACAAGAAAGCCTGGGGAAGTGGTGACTCGCACGGTTGAGGACTACAAGAAACCTAGACAAAGTAGCACTAATCCTAGTGGCATTCAGAATTCTGGTCTTGAGAGGGATTTTCCATCTCTTGGAACTGAAGAGAAGCAAGGTGTGATTGGAAATAGTAGAGTGCCATCTTCTGGCTTAAGTTCTGCTGTTCATAGTCTGCCTATTGGCAACTCGGGGTTTCTTGGTGGTGAGAAATGGACTTCTGCTTTAGCAGAGGTTCCTGCTGCACTTGTCAGTAATGGCGTAGGACACTCACATGCTCAACAGAATGTGGTTACATCTTGCCCAGGGGGTCTTAACATGGCTGAGGCGCTGTCACAGCCTCCAGCACAAGTTCGTGCTTCTCCACAGGCAAGTAAATTGTTATCTCACTTTCATTTTCATGAATTTTTGTTTGGCAGTGAAAGAGGTATATTTTAATACTTCCTTTGGTATATCCTACAGATGCCTGATAAGAGCCAAAGGCTTGAGGAATTGGCCATTAAGCAGTCTAGACAATTAATTCCCATGACACCTTCAATGTCTAAACCCCTGGTAAAATGATATTGCTTCTTGGAATTTACATTTCTTTGTATTATGATGATATCTTAAATTTATGTTTTTCGTTATATTTTATATAGCACCTATTATTTTTTTGCTTATTTTAGCTGGCCTTTTAATTTGTTCTTCATTCTTTGGATGTAACATCTAAGTTCATAGCCTGCAAAATGGTGGTACCGTAAGACACGCATGATTTTAGAAGCACTTGGCATTTAGTCTTCTAAATGCTCAAAATGGTGTCTTTTTTATGCAATTTGTATCAAGAAGACAAGCTCTCTCTCTCTCTCTCTCTCTATCTCTCATTTGTCTTTTCACGTTTCCCTCACGAAAAAAGACCGTGCAACATAATCAAGAAGTGTGAAAATTATCAGAATTCACCTCTTCCTTAATTTTTAAATGATTTGCTTATATTCTGTTAGGGGTAAAGGGTCGAAGTAAAAGAAACTAAAATATTATAAGTAGAGAAACAAAGAAAAGAACTCTAAGTTATCATGCGAGTTTATTGGAGGCTGTCTGAATGTGTGTGTGTGTGTGTGTGATTTTTTGAGAGCAGAAGATCGGTGGTTTATGAAAGTTGCATGCATTTTGTTTGTGGTGCTCTTGGTTATCGTGAATTGGACTCTAAAACTTGTGATGAGTATGTCAACCTGTGTTTATATTGTCAATGAAACTCGGCTTATTTTTACCTAGCTGCTGCTTTCATGAATTCTAAAACTTGTTCGGATTTGCACGGTATTTCAGTATCTTGTCATATGTAGTATAGATGGTGAAATCAGCAAGTTAATTAAGAATTTATCAATTCAGAGCCTTAATTCTGGAGACAAATCAAAACAACCCAAGATTGCAGTCAAAGCCAATGAGATGTCCAAGGGTTTGCAGCCGCAACCTCATTCGCCGCATCTCTCTAACCACTCTTATGCTGGGAAGTTTCTGGTCCTCAAACCAGGGCGTGAAAATACATCTACTTCATCTGGCGATGCCAATTATAAAGTGCATAATGGCCCGGGTCCTAATTCTCCATCTACCCCGACTGCATCAATGAGTCCAAAAAATTCTGTGGTTTCTAATCTTGATGACAAAGTTGCTGCCTTGTCGGTAAATTCCAGGTCGAATGTGGACAAAAGGTCACCCCAATCTATGGCCCAGAGCAGAAGTGAATTTTTTAACCTCATGAGGAGGAAAAGCATGCCCAATGCGACAACCACTCTTTCAGATTCGAGTTCGGCTGTTTCATCCGTCGGTGAAGAAATAAGCAAAGAAGGATGTGCTCCAGAAATTCCTAGCCCGTTTGAGAATGGTGGTCTGATTACTTGCAATGGCAATGGACATTACAGCCCTGAAAAGTCCGAAAGTTGTGCTGACAAGGAAAAAACTGACGTGTTCTCTGATGGGCAACTTTGTCCAGATGAAGAAGAGGCTGCATTCCTTCGGTCGCTCGGGTGGGAAGAAAATGGTGGAGAAGATGAAGGTCTCACGGAGGAAGAGATTAATGCCTTCTATCAGGAGGTAATAAAAAATTATTAATTAGTCAACTAGTTTCATTTGTTACTGGTTCAAATATTGAGTAGAAATATGACTCAAGGTCTTCCCGTGACTTGAAAGTGTCTCTTTGAAACTCTTGCAAGGATGAGAAGCTTTTGGCGAATTAGGTTGGCATGGGGTTATTACTCCAATTTTTCCCTTGTATACTGCCGGGCATCCGTAAATCTCATTTTCCTGTTAGATTGTTGTGTCATTTTCGTTTTGTTAGTTGATTGCAATTATCACAAAAAAACAAGCTGAAAATCTGCTTTATCAAGTTGTTCCTGTTGTATTTTTGCACAGTACATGAAGAGGCGGCCATCTTTGAAGGTGCGGATTAATTCTTTGCCAAAATGCTCTGCACTGCCTGCCATTTCCAGTTCCGAGTCGAGCTCATCTGAGTCTGAAGATTGATATGTTGTGCTGAAAGCCTCTGGAAACGTTATTGGTTGCCGCTTGTGACTAAATTTGCTCAAGAACTTAACAGGCACGTGAGAACGATGCTCTGTCAGAAAAAAAGGGGTCTTGTCGAATCATACTCGAAAAGATGTAGGATAGGAATGCATTTTGCTTGCGATTGATGATACTTATGTGTAGCTCGTCCTTTGTTTTGCGTATTTTGTCCTTTGTTTTTTTTTTTCCTGAGAAACATCACTTGAAAGTGGTTGAAGAAAAGTCCTTATGATGAATTTAACAGGAAGAAGCAGGAGAAAGGGAGAGTTTGATCATGATTTCACTGCTGTTCAGTTCCCTTTAATCTATTGCCGTTTCTTTTTCTTTACTCATCTTCTTTTTTGTAATTAGCCGTATGCAGACAGTTGAATGCATCATCAACACATCTTGAAACCAGAAATTTGAGGGCTCATCAATCTCAAATTAGAAGAACTCTACAGTATCTTCTGTTATTCTGAACTTGTCTGAGCCTGTGCTTAGATAAGTTGATAAACTAGATTCCGCTAATGATCTTTCGAAAAAATTAGAAGAACTATACACTGAAGCCTCGTCGGTGAGTAAATTGTTCTTTAAAGAAAAAACTCGGTTCAAACTTTATCATCATTCAAAAGAATTGATGAAAATCTTGTTTACTAGACTTGTTGAAGATACTAAATTGAGGTGCATTTTATCAGTAACTTAGCATAAACATTGGGTTTCAAACATGCTCATTCTTTCTTTTTGCGCCGGAGACGACAACCTGCTTTAAATTTGATTTGGTGCCTTGGTGGTGAAAATGGATTTTTATGGGCAGTTGAGAAAATGAGGCATTAATTTGATATTTGGTCGCATCAGATGCTAACTAAACGTGTTAATGAGTTACATACAGACCCTTTAAGGGAAGCACACAAAATTATAGTATCAAGATATGTTTTATCTCCAACCACGAAAACAAGCATCTTTGGGGGTGTTTTTCAAACAAGAGACAACCGAAACATTCAGTGTGTTTTGTTTGAAAATGAGAGCACACTCAGAAGCACATCATCTCTCTCCAACACCATAAGTCTTCAATCAAACTCACAAAAGGTTAACTAAATCACACAAAAGATGAAGTTCAAACCACGTATCTATAGGTCACATAGCGTCCCGCCGTCTCACTGGGCCGGATAATTTTCACAACTTGTCCGCGCTTCAGCCCATAGTATTTGGCAATCGGGTCGGTTATCTGAATACGAGGCAGCTGTGATCCAGTAGAAAGGAAGATAAGAAAACAAGTATTCCATTTCCTAAAAAAGCGTATACTGTGTTGTCCACCAAGGTGTGGTATCTCAAGTTATAGCATCCAAAGGACCATCAGTACAGATGATCCTACAGTAACAAAAAACTAACCTGGGTTTCCTTCACAGTGTATCTTTCCAGCAAAGTCTTCTTTTCTTCAGGTGTGAGCAGCTGATGTTCTGGGACGAGAACGTGATCTTTTATGTTGACCAACAACTCGGCCTCCTGCATTATTTGAATAAGTAAATACCACTACAGTTGACCGACAAGTCCAACATATCCAAATCCAATAGAACAGTATAAGCACATGCAAGTACGAAACGTAGAACAGTATAAGCACAAATCCTAAATAAATGCAGAAAATATGTCAAACCCCTAATTTAGGCAGTTATAACCCACAAGGTCCACAGAACGTTTTCTCATTGAATTCTCATCGACAATCGACATTTCTATTGCAATAGCAACAAAAAGAAGAGAATAAGAAAATTACATTCTTCATGTGTTGAAAACTATCATTTGCCTGCATTGCTTTTACTTCTCAACGGAAGTGCACAAAAGATGCCTTAGTACTACACCAGTAATGCATCTTAATACCATATGAAAAATATAAACAACACTATATAATTACCAGAAAAACTTCCAGATGAAATTTTGAGGATATTTCACTTATGCAGCCACGAGCAAAAGGAGTCAAATTCTGCTGGACAACTAAAATTGCCCGATGAACACCTTCTTCCTTCATTCGATTAGTGTAAGTCTTCATTGTCTTAACACCAACCTTCTGGTCGTCAGGGAAGAACACATAGATCTGAATACAGTAAATGAGGAAAAGACAGGTGTAAAGGGATGTGTGTCCAAACATAAATCACTCATATCTCAATTAGGGGAAGAAGCCAAGTAATGTACGTAAAAACAGACTCTATGCAAGCTTCAACACACATTAAGAAGACAACAGCCACATCAGAAATGAAAAGGAGAAAACATACACATGATTCATATATATAATATTTCTCCTAGTGGCATGATCAGCACATAAAAGAAGCCGCCTTAAAACGTAGAGCAGTTTGAAGAACTATATCATCATAAAGCCTACCAAATTCGAAGGTGTTGACTCAAGATGATGCAGTGCCCTACATGCTACTACATTTCAAACACTTATTAGAGAAACATAACAATATCAGTGCCCTACATGCTACTACTTCTTCTCACTCACTTTCATCTCCGTGCAATAAATTTAAAATAACAATATCAAGAAACATAAATAAAATTAGTGGAATAACTGAACAACATAAATTTCCCCACATTTCAAACACTTATTAGAGACAGCTTCAATCTTTCTTGTTCAGTTGTCCATCACCTATTTATTACTTTAACAATGTTCTTCATGTTTTCACATCACTCTTAGAATATATATACATCCAAATTAATTAATCAGACAACCATGGGTAATATAATCCATTAGAATACTTATACCCATGTCATGATCAACAAATAAACACGCTGAGAGAGAGAGGGAGAGACCTGCTCTGAGCTATTGTTGCGCATGCCTTTCATAATAAAAAGGTCCTCCCTCTTGAAACTGTCCCCAAACTTCTGGAGGAACTGATACCTCGTCATGTCAATTTCAAAGTCACCGACCATGTAACCCCTGTCCCTCAGCATCTGCATCACAGTCCTCCGAATTCGGTACAGCCTTGTGATTTCCTCTTCAGACATAACCATCTTCGCACTGGCAATTGAGTGATTGACAAAAATTACAAGAAAAATCAGGGGAGCAAAAAAGGGGGAAAAAAGCATCACATAATGCTACTCAAATCACTATCCCGGGCAAAGATAGTGAAATTTTAAAGCTACATTCATCAAACCAATACTGTTATCATCCCTTCAACCGAATAATCTCCGCCGACATTAAGCAAATTCAGAGAAAAAAAAAAAA